TAGAGGACACTGGGCATCATATAGGAAGAACAAGGGAATAGAGAGGAAGTAAGCAGGGGCGCTAGAGATCTGGGAAGTGAAAAATTACAAAAAGCAGAAAAGGGGTGGGTGGTCCATATGAATCCTCTCTAGGTTTCTTAACTGTCACCATATTATTAAAGTGCAAACCCAAAGCTCAGTGAATCCTGCGGGCTCTACCTTAAAGACATAAAAATCACTATCTCTCACAGTTTCAACTACTCTATTCTAGTAAATCATCCTTCTCTCTAAGTTACCAGCAGATTGCTAACAGATCTCTTTGCTTCTACACAAACTGCCTTTAGTTTATTGTCAACAGAACTGAAAGAGTGTTCCTTTTAAATTAAGTCCTGTCAAGTTCTATATAGGCTTCAAACCCTCCAGGGGCTCCTTATTTCAGCCAAAGTATAATGGAAAGTCCTTACAATGGCCAGTAAAGGCTCTGAGTGATCTGTCCCAATCCCCTGCTCTGTAATCACTCCTAAAGTTTTCTTTTTGGCCCAACCCACTCCATACTCACACTCCCTGACCTTCCTGTTCTTTAAACAGATCAGCATGCTTTTGCCTGTAGGCCATAGCTCTAGTTCTGCCTGGAATATTCATTCTCCTACAGGTAATTATTTGTCTAACTTGCTCATGTCCTTTCAGTCTTTGCTCAAAATTCTCCATCTTAATGGGAGAAGGCCACCTTAAGATCTCATTTAGAACTCCAACCTACTGTGTCACCTCCTTATATCGACCCCTGCTCTTGTTTTATGTTTTCCATAGCATTTATCATCTTCTAATATACCATATTCTTTATATATTCATTATCCTTGCTTTACATTGTCTGTTCTTTCTGCTGGAATATAAACTCTAAGAGAGCAGGAACCTCCTTCTGCTCCATTGATTTTTTTTTTTTTTTAAGATTTATTTGTTTATGCATAGAAGAACTGGAGTGCAGGCCAGAGAGGCAGGGGGTGAGAGGATTCACCAGAGACAGGGAGGGGAACAGAACAGGCTGACTGAAATACACTGCTGAGGGGAGCAGTGGGTGAGAGAGGAGAGGTCTGCTTTGCCATGTGGGTTGCTCCCTGGCCAGCTGGGGATTGAACTTGTGCTACAGAGGCTGTGGGCTACTTCATAGTGCGGTGCTTAACCCCTTGAGCCACCAGGGAGGCCCCACATTGATATTTTTTTATTTAAAATAGTTTTACATTATAGATGTTCAATAAATATTTGCTGAATAGTCTATTTAAGTTAAATTTATTAGTGATATAAAATAAGGTCCATTAATTTTTTTGTATTAACTGGTATATCTTATTATTTAGGGTATAAATATTTCTATGTGAGAGGTAGGCTGTGGCTCTGGAACTGACATTTGACATTTGCTGAGTAGCAGTAAAATTCTTATTCTTGTATCCATGTGCCTCCCCACCCCACCTCATTAATAAAGAGGGAAAGAGGAATGAGTTAGCAATAGATAGGAAAGGGAAACATACTTCAGTGTTTATATGGTACTGGAAAAGGTCTGGTTAATTGAATGTCTAAATTTATGATAAGATCATAGACCACCAAGACTTGGAAGAACTATCAGAGGGATGGATACTCATGAATGAGTCATGGTTTCTAGAAAGCATGTTTCCTGGGTAAGACAAATAATTAGATGAGTTAATCTTAATTAAAACAATGCATTTGCTTGTCTATTTCTCTAGTTATTGGTAAAAGTTTTTCTACTTTTTAAATTCTTCTGTCTTATACTGTGCATATATATAAATATATAATTTTGAAATATTGTGATGGGGGTGAGTAAGGAAGAGCAACACACTGTTTAAGACACTGAATTCTAGGGCAAGTTAGGGATAATTAGGCAGCCTCAAGGACAGTGCAGGGACTTCAGGAGAGCTAAAGAAGACTCTGGAGATAAGGACAACAAATTCCAAAGGGGACTAATCAAACACCCCAGGACTTATGACATTAGGGACTTACTTTATGACCTTAGAGTCAACAAGACATTCCAAATAGAGGGCAATGAATTAAAAAAAGGTAAGGGCTGAGACACAGAGACATAGTTCTGGGCACAGAGACATTTAGGCAGTGAGTGAGACCACTGAGAACTAACCAATCACAGAGAGACTAGTGGAGCTTTAGAATAATTAGGGAAAGAAGATGTATATTCCCTGAGACACGACTCTACTTGGGCTTCCTTGCCCCTCCCTGGCATCCATGGCCTGGGAGTCCCACTTTATTTCTGTTCCTTTTTGCCTCAATAAACTTTTTCTTTCTCTAAACAAACCTGCTTCTTCTCGCTTGCTTGCCTGAGCATCTGCGAAGTTCCTGCTGTGGCTTCGTGAGACACCAACTCATGGTGGTCTAGTGGCTGGGACTCAGCACTGCCCCTGCAGCCTGGGATCCTTCCTGGCTGGGAGACTAGACCTGAAAACCTATAATTCCTGTATCAACACTACATTTTGCAGCCAAGCTGCTTGGGTTTTAATCTCAGCTTTGCTACTATGCAACTATAGTTAAATGGCATACAAATCTCCACCTTACTTCCCACATTGTAAAATGGAGATAATCATGGTATATATGGACAGCATTATTTTAAGGACTAATATGCCATAATATATAATATCTATTACACAGAATTCACTCTATAAACAACTATTTTTATAGAATGGAATATATTCTGCAAAATTAAAACTTTTTATATATTTCAGTTTCAAAAAGTGATATTCATATAATTCTGACTTAGCTTAGGTAAAAATAAAGGACAAGCTGGTAAGATGAGTCCCCCTCCACCTCTGCCCCTCACCCCCACCCAGTCCTGTTTGAACAGGTGGATTGAATCATGGGCTAGAGTGTTATCCAAACAATTTGGTCCATGACACTGGCCTTGAGGCACCCTAACAGACAAAAAGCTTTAGATCCTGACTCATGATTATCTCACAACTTCCTTGAGGGAGAAGGCCTAGAGGCCCCATACACAGTTAGAATGTAAACTCCACCCAGAACAAGCTATGTTTCTCTTCCCCACCTCATGAATCTACACTTCAAATATCTCCTAGCTCCCTTTGAAGGACCAGGCTAAATTCTCATGGTTCTATCATGCATGAGTTTCTCTAATAAAACCTTGCTTGGTTCAACTACACATAGCACTCTATTGAATTCTGCCCTCCCTAGAGGGCAAAGGACCCACTCTTTTGGATTGGGGCCTGTAACATTACCAAGAACTGTGAAGGATCTAGTATTTTTTCCTACTAGTGAACTAACAAAGAGCAGCTGAGAAAAGGCATGAGATTCCTCTGACAAAGACAAAAGATATTATTGCTCATAGCACAACCGGCAGCATGAGCTTCAGGCTCTCATAGATTCTTCTTGCTCCCAGTCCCACAGGATGAAACACACATAAGCAATGGGTATCAGAATGGGGGAACTCCAATTTTTGCCAACTCTTTGTAGCAAATCCAATCAAACTTTGCCTTGGAGGAAGAGATTATCTTTGTTATTTTCCAACAGATCTCTATGTCTCTGAAGGAAATACTACCCCTATCTTTGAAATTATAGGTGTAGAAAAGTAAGAGACCCTTGCAGACTGGATTTCTAACATATCCATCAGTGACATCACCAGTAAGGCTCTTAGGATAAAAATAAGATGTACAAAAATTCTGACCAGAGATTTAGACTAACATTGTGAGTGTAAAATACTATCTTTTCTGAGCATTTCTTTGAATATATAATTAATTAGAATTAATCTTTACAATATCTTGCTTTTACCACTTGATGCTTTAATGAGTCATCTATTCTTTATTCTTATCAAGTAGGTTTTAATATCCCCCTTCTTTTATATATGCCTCAAACTTAAACTTATTGGCTAATGTATTACTTACTGTATTAGAGGAAGTGTACTTTCTCAAGAGTGGCTGGTATCTTAGCAATCTTCCTTTCTCTCTGCCTCTTCCTGATAAAATTAGGTTTCAACATGCTCTTCTTCTGTAACGCAGCTGAGCTATAGTTACTCAGCTTTGCAAAGTTACTTTCCTCTGCAGATATACAGCTAACATATTTTTTACCACTACCAGTTCTGCCCTGTCTTAGTCATCAGAGATAAGTGAAAATAATATCATACTGGTCTTTTTGTGTTTAAGCTAAAGTTACAGGTTTCCTGTTCTTTCAAAGCCAGAGTCACAAAATTTTCTTGAGTTTCAGAGAAAAGCAGAATTGCCAGTTACTATTACTTAATACATCGAAATAATTGATTTAACTTTTCACCAAAAAATCAAGCTATTTTAGGTGGATATATTTAGGAGGTACATTTTAGGAGTTTGTCCAAAGATTGATTCATTTGTACAATTGCCATAGAATCAGAATGTCCTGTGTATTATCAACATATAGTGAATAAATTTTAGTATAAGTGCATGTCTCATGCAATATTTGAGAGGAAATTATACGTAAAAACATTTATGTTAAGTTGAAAATGAAATTAACTGGACATCCTGTATTTTTAATAAGGTACCCTGACAACTCTAGTTATCATTGATCAAAACAAACTGCAAAAAACCTTTGCAAAATTTGGTCTCAAATGGATTTGTAGTGCAGAAACACTTTCCTTTGGACAGAAATAAGTTTCAAAGTTTTGTGGGTGACATCCACTGGTCACAAAAAATATATGTAACACTACAAGTTTTGAAATTCACAGATATTTGAAAAATTCACATATTTGCAAGTGCTGTCTTAAAAAAGAAAGTGAAAGGATCGGTTCAAAGTAGTCATGAACTGGCAAGTCTGCGGTTGCAAAGGAGAAAAGAAACCTTGGTCCAGAGAGCTCTTCCATGGAGTGGAAGTTACCAAAAGAAAAAGGGGAGACAAGAGCGCGAGACCTCAGCGAGCCAATAGAAGTGGAGCAGGAAAGGGCTGGGCTCGTGAAGCCAATCAGAGACGAGATGGGTGGGACTAGTCTCTGGGGGGGTAGGAATTTGGGGGGTGTGGGTGCCGACGAGCGGGACTTAGCCAATCGGGACCGAGCAAGGCGGAGCTGGACTTCGGGGGGACGTTTTCAAGGAAGTGATCAGCGCGGCCAGCGCGTCTTTCAGCCTCACCTGCATCTGCACCTTTACCTTCGCCTTTCTGCTGCCTGGGCGGACGCTGGCCCTCAAGGTGACGCGCTCTCTGGGCAGAAGCGTGGCATCGGCTAGCCATGGCCTACTCGGGATATGGAGGAGGGGTGAGTCCTGGCTGCTTCCTCTTGGCCCCCGCCCCCGCGGGGTGTGGCGCCTCTGCGGGCGGTGCCGACGCGTGGGGTCCGCCCTCTGCCCTGACTGGTTTATCCGCTCGGGGACGAGGCGGCGCCCCATCTCCGCGCGCCGCGAATGCCAGCCTGGATGGTGGCGATGCCGCGATCGGTGTTCTGGTCCTGGAGCGCCCCGTAGGCGGGTCATTGAGGAGCTGAGGATGTGATGTGTTAAAAAAAAAAAAAAAAATCCTGAAATGGAAATGAAGGCACAAAACACCTTTTTATCCCAGAAATCTTCCGTGCTGCGCCCGCGGCCCTACCCCTCTCCGCAGCCCGCTCAGTTTTGCTAGACATCCTCTTTCTGGATTTTTTTGACCACTTGTTTTCTGTTTTGTAAGTTGCATATGAATGAATGAAGGTATGCTAAATGTCTCCCAATCCTTACTTTTCTACTAAGGGCCGTCAGTCGTGGACTTTTGGTTGCTCTTCAGAACTATCCTGAATCACCTTTGTGAGCTGGAAGTTGTCTTTGTAGTTTCCAGGTGGCCAGCTTTTTCTTTTCAGAAAGGAGCCCAAACTTTAGGTATTTATGTCATTGATCTCTAAAGTGGGCTGAAGACACTTTGTGTTCACAAAACGGGCTTGCGGGGCGATCCATTAGGGTAGAAAATAATGTATTTTGGATTTGGTTACACCTACTAAGAGAAATTGAACATTACCACTATTTAATATAAGACCTAACATTGACATTTGGCAATGATTTTCAGAGGAATTACCCCTATACCTGTGAGTACATGGAAAAGAAACTATTTTTGAAGAATGAATTTGCCCACATACTCCTTACTAATTTGTAAACCTGCCTGAGTTCTCCTTGGCGTCTTCCATTTTACAATTTTTATCACACATAAGGTCTTAAAATTAAAAGATTCCTTCAAAGATTAGTCAAAGTAGCATGAACCTGTGGAACTTTAAGTTTCTCCAACTTTCAGCATATTTCCATCAGTGTGAAGCTTGCTGTTGAAACATGGTATCTTTACTCTATTGGGATGTTCTGAAGTCAAATATGAATGGGGTGGTAAGAGTGAGCCATTTTCATTCAAATCATTTGCTACTTTCTTACCCCCATTTTTATCAGTGTTTGTATTTGATGAAGAATTCCACAAAAGCAAAGTAAAGAAAACGTCTGTGTTTCAAACATTAAAAGCCTTATGTAAACATTGTGGCTCTTTCCAGCTTTTCTCATGGTCATCATCAGGACTTTCAAAAGCTGGAGCCATGAAGATTAATTTTTCTGATTCCTTTAAATGTAATGGAAATATTTCCTTGGAGTATATTAATGAAGTAGTTAATTTTTTTTTTATAAATCCTGTGAATTATAGTCAATCCACATCTTACTAATCTTTCCTCTAGTCTTTTAACAAAATGTAAACTATTAACAAGACCTATTTGGTTCTGTAGCATACTTTTATCTAACTAAATGCACAATTCATCTCATTAAGGTATGCACTTCTAATACATTTTTTTCTGGTTTAATAAGCATTTACCAAAATTATAATATTTTCTTATTGTTATAACTCAACCTAAAAGGACAAAAGTTACAATTCAACCTAAAAGGACTTTTTTTCACTACGTTGCTCATTATGGTCACAGGAAAAAATAAAATTCTACATTTCAACTTATATATATATTTTTATTTTAGGTGAGTATGATAGGGTAGATTACTATTGAAACGTACACTTTAAGCTTTATAAAATTATTCAAATGAGCTATTGATGGAAGAAACAGAATAAAAAATGAGTTCCAAGAGTAAAAGGTAGAAGGTAACATTTCTAAATGTTACAGAATTGTTTTCATTTCTTTTTAAAAATGGAGGGGAGCAAGTATCAGATCATGATAGTGTGTAAATAACAATAGATACTTTCCAAAGGGTTACAAATAATACTTTATCGGTGAATATTGACATTTACAGTATCTTGGGTATTGCTGTTCTTTTATAGTATTTAAACTTAGGAATTTTATGTCAACATAAAATTTGGAGTAAAGTATGTAAGTTGGCCCTCGCTGGTGGCCTAGGGGGTTAAGTCTCAGCACTAAGACTGCTATGGCCTGAGTTCAATCACCAGCTAGGGAGCTAGCCCACATGGCACAGCAGACCTCTCCTGTCTCACCTACTACTCCCCTCAACAGCGTATTTCAGTAGACCTGCCTGTTCTGTTCCCCACACTGTCTCTGGTGAATCCTCTCACCCCTCACACTTCTAGCTTCCACCCCAGTTCTTCTACATATAAATAAATCTTAAAAAAAAATAAAGTCTATGAGTTTCCAAAATTCTTTTAGGGATAGGTAAGCAAAATGTATCGAGACCATTGACATAAGGTACAGGTGGTATCTTTATTTTTTTTTTAAAGCAAGTTACTTTCTTTTTTTAAAGATTGATTTATTTATACAAACACTGGGGTACCAGCCAGAGGCATGGGAGGGTGAGAGAATCCACCAGAGACAGAGCAGGGAGCAGAACAGGCAGAAGGACTGAAATACACTGCTGAGGGGAGCAGTGGGAGAGACAGGAGAAGTCTGCTGTGCTATGTGGATAGGTCCCTGGCCGGGCGGGAATCGAACCAGCGCTGCAGAGGCTGCAGACAGCCTCTGCAGCGCTGTGTTCAACCCGCTGTGCCACCAGGGAGGCCCACAGGTGGTATCTTTAAAGATTCATTGGAGTTTTATCATCGTTCTCACATTTTTTGCTTTCAACCTGTTGTGTGACTTAATTCCAGTTTAAATGTGCAGAGTTCTCAGTGTTACATATTCTGTGGTCCACTTTTAACTACAATAATCTTCACAAAACGGACAATTAGTGTGAAAATTTCTGGGGAGAAACTGGGGATCAAAGATAATACTGAAGATTCAAAAATGTGCAAAATAACATGAAAATAACATCACTGACATTTAAGTCCCAACTTTTAGTCACATTACTAGGTAATAACAATGGTGATCTAATTAATGATCTGTTTTACTCATTTGACACTACCAAGAAAACACCTGAAAGTTTGAATTTATACACACTATTTTTAAGGATTCACCTATTGCCCAGGGACCCCGTTCTCTTCCACACTGTTCCTTCCATGTGTGTTTTGCACTGTGGGCTGGCCATATATTTTTTTTTAAGATTTATTTATTTATGCATGCAAGAACTGGAAGCTAGGGGTGTGGAGCGGGGGTGAGAGGATTCACCAGAGACAGAGTGGGGAACAGAACAGGCAGAATGACTGAAATATACTGCTGAGGGGAGCAGCGGACAAGACAGGAGAGGTCTGCTGAGCCATGAAGCTCCCTGGCCTGGCCGGTGAACTCATGCTGCAGCGGCTGGGCTGCAGACAGCTTCATAGGTTGTGTCTTTAACCCCTTGCACCACCAGGGAGGCCATCACAATGTTTTGAAACTTGCAATTTCCCTTCTTGTCCTTCCTTGCTTCGTAATCTCATTTTTCACTACCTCCCTCAGCACATTTCCTCGAGCTCTAATACTTCCTCCACATTTTTGCCCTTACCACACCCCCGGCTGCAGAAATTGCAACCACTTGTGGACTTCCACCTTTTGTCTATTTCCCCCTCTCATACTTTGAAATCTTCCTCCTTTTTTTGGCTTTCTGACTATCTCTGCTCATCCTTCCAGGGTATGTCAAGGAAGTTTTTGTTCACAATGGAATAAGAAACTATCTTAACACTTCCTCTTCTTTTTAAACTTACAAACATGCTGAGTAAAATGCCTTTCTGAGGGATTAAAAATATATACCAAGTTCCAAAGTTAAAAGAGTACAAGAGAGAGGCCAAGTCCACAGCAGGAAATAAGTGGTAAGGAGCCCATGGAGTCAGGCCATTTTTTAAAATCATAGTCTGTTCGTACCAGCTTTGACCTTGACCTGATTTTAGAAACCTCTTGAACAGGTCCTCAGTTGCAAAAAGGAATCCATTACTTTCATGCCTCATTCAGTTTTTGTAAGATCCTATCACATGAAGATGGAAAATACTTGAACAGAACCTGGAATATCAAAATCTCTCAATAAATATTAACTGCCTATTATTGGCACTGATACTCTTATTATATTAAAGAAGAATATTGTTGAAATTATCACCTTATGAATCTGTTCACTGATGTCTTGCTTTTTAAAATATATTTTCTCGTGGAGAGGTATTTCAGCCCTATGCAGTTCCCCGTGATTAGTGTGATTAGTTCACAGTTACACTATATTTACCATATAGTCTTCTAAGTTATGTGCATTGAGGTATACTACGTTTTTTATTGTAGCTGAAATTTTCTTATACTTTTTACTTTTTGTTTATTTCAACATTGATAGTAAACACTGTGCTTCATGTTCCGTTGGATTCAGTTCTTGGACTGGAGCCTTTTTTCTGTTATACTTCTTTGAATGCAGGGTATCATAGTTAATGAACTGAATTATGTGCTAATGTAGGATGTCAAGCATTTTGGAGCAAACAGCTGATTTGATGGTATATTTCATAGCTTTTGGTGACTCTATTATTGCTTTTAGAGGACTCCTTATAATTATTTTCTTTTTAAACGAGCTTTAGGGGATAATATGTAACATTTGTATTAATAATCTTCTCCTGAACCTCCCTGGTGGCACAAGGGATTAAGTCTCAGCACGATGAAGCTATCCACAGCATGATTTTTTTTATTTTTATATTCCCCATACTATTGCACCCCCCTTATTTTGACCCCAATCCCTCCTTTCGTCGACCAGGGAGCTGCCCACATGGCTCCCCTGACTCGCCTGCTGCTCCCCTCAGCAGTGTATTTCAGTAAAAATCAGCAGGTGTATTTCCAGCCTTTTCCCGGTGGCGCAGCGGTTGAGCGCTGGGTTGCGAAGCTGCCCACAGCCTCTGCAGCGCCAGTTCGATCCCTGGCTGCTCCCTGGCCACCAGAGGAGGGTCCCACATGGCGCGCAGACCTCTCCTGCCGCCCGCTGCTCCCCTCAGCAGTGTACTTCGGTCCTTCTGCCTGCTCTGCTCCCCGCTCTGGCTCTGGTGAATTCTCTCACCCTCCCGCGCTTCTGACTGTACCCAGTGCTTGAATAAATAAATAAACAAACAAACAAATAAATAAATCTTTAAAAAAAAAAAAAAATCAGCCTTTTCTGCTCCCTGCTCTGTCTCTGGCGAATTCTCTCACCCCTCCACACCCCTTGCACCTCTGGCCTGCACCCCAGCTTTTGTATGCATAAATAAATAAAATAAATCTTTTTTAAAAAAATAACCTTTTCCTGTTTCACTTTTATAGTTTGGAAATTTTAGCGGTCAGATGCCAGGAATGCAGATGCAAATGGGGCAGCCAGTGCTAGGAACTGGGCCAAACCTGCTCCCTGGAGGATACCCTGGATGCCCAGCATATTCGCACAATTACTCCTCAGCGGGAGACCCCATGTGGACATACTTCACTTCCGTTGCTGGGCAGGTGAGATGCTACGTGGATTGCATACACATCAATTTTCAAAAATGATCACTCTTTTCAAAGACATGTCAACTCTTTGACTTTGTGTGTTATTTTAAATGTACATGAAATTTGGACTTTAAACTTACCTAGGTTGAACTTCTTTGTGAGATCAGAGATGAGGATATTCGTAATTATTTCACTTCAAATGTCTGGATAGAATGGTACTGTTCATCTGACCACGAGAAGAAGCAGGGCAGTGCATGGTGACTGAGCCAGAGAGGATATGGAAAAAGTTATCTCCATGCAAGTATCCTTGAGGAAGCTGAGCAGTATCAAAAAGTTTCAGAAATAAGTCTTTTACCTTGTGAATGGTCTTGGGAGAGGCTTGAGGCTGAATTAGATCAGGGAACAGTAAAGAAGGGCTTACGGGAGGTCCAAATATCAGACTAGCAAGCAGAGACAGAGTTTCACACAAGTTTTAGTCTCTTTTCCTTTATTTTAGTAAAAAAAAAATTATTGACTAGAATTTTATAGAACTTTGATAAATTTCCCCTTCATTATTTTCAGCCTCTTTAGTAGCATTTCCCATTTTTTGCAGCCAAATGCAATTTTGTTACACTATACCATTTTTGTCTGCAAAGAACTCTTAATTGGTATAATACTGGGAATATAATTTATATAACTCACTAAATGAAATTCATTTTATAAAACTACAACTTAAAACATAGGAACTGGACATATATACTTAGAGACTTTAGTTTGACTTCTATTTTATTTGTACTAGGTAGTGTGCTCATCAGTAGGGATGCAAAGATGAATGAAACAGTATCTTCTAAGATACTGACTTAGACATTATCTAGTCAGGGTGACATGTAAAAATGATAATGATATCAGGAAAGAAGTGCTAAAAGTGATGGGTAAAGATTTCACAACACCTTACTGAAGGATGGAATTGAACTTTAGTGAAGAATTTCATGTAGTTTATACACACATTGCTTTTTATTGATGTACACCTGAACCTTATCTGCTGTTATACTGAAATGTAACGTCAATAAAAAATAATTTTAACAAAAGATTATAGCAACAGTAACAACATCCTTTGATTATGATCCTTATTCTCTGCCTTGACCAGCACTGACCAACATATAATTGAACCATAAATGCAAGCCAGATTGGCATTAGGCTTCAAAAAAATACTAACATTCAACATGTAATCAATGTAAAAACTATCAATAGGATAATTTACATTGTTTTGTTACTAAGTTTTGAAATCTCATGTGTATTTTATACTTACAGAGCATCTCAGCTCAGATAAGTCATCTTAGTGCTCAGTGGAACATCTGGCTAATGGCCACTGTGCTGGACAGTTTAGCCTGGAGCACTCTTCTCGGATATCTGCATAGCTTGTGCCTTCATTTTCTTTAGTTCTTTCTCAGAATTCACCTTAGCAGTGTGAAGCTTTTCTTAACCATCGTACAAAAGGGCCTTGTTATCTCCACCTTCCTGTATTATACCCAAGCATACATTCCCTATCACCTTAACTCTGACTTTTTAAATTCCCTTAGCACTGATCAACCGTCTTATGTAATTTCTGCTTTATTGTCTCTTTTCCATCACTAAAAGGTGAGCTCTTGAAGACGAGGAATTTATTTTGAACACTGTTGGATACCTAGTACATCTAATGGTGTTTGAACATTATAGGCTGCTCATAAATATTTATCACATGAATGTCTTAGTCTTCTTAAATGGACGACATTTCATTTGTTTCTCTACACTTTCTTAAAACTCTTGATTGATGCTTGTTCTATAAAATTAATTTCATCTTGGATGAATTTGTTCAAAAACCATTGATTTTTTTGGTTGACTATCTGAACTTTAGATTTCTCCACATGGATTGGAATTTTGCTTCATAAACTTAACTTCCAGTAGAGTTTTTGTTTATTTTCTCCCTCCCTCTTTCTGTTCCCTTCTCTGTCATCTCTTTCATCTCTTCTTTTTTCCATGTCATCAACCTCTCCTTAATCTAGTGGTTTTGTGATTGTGCCACCAAGGTTGTGTCCATGCTCCAGCTTGGTGATGCTGGTGCAGATGTTATCAGCTGGCTGAAAGCAACTTATTTTAGTATCTTAGTCCTGTTTTCCTGAGCCTTCAACTTCTTGGAAGCGATGTCCTCAGGCAGTATAGTTTGTTTTGTTTTGCCTCCTTTCATGAGCAGGGAGCCCCATCCCACTTCTTGCATTCTAGCAGTGAGACACTCTAGTTCCTGAAGTCTGTCCTTAGAAGCAAACTCCTTGCTCCTACTACACATCTGCTCTCCCTCTGCTTCCTAGTTCTTCTGCATAATGTACCCAAATGCAATTTAGGGTTGGAATTTCATATATTCAAATTAGTTTCTTACACTTTTAAAAATAGCAGCTGTTCCAATAAAGCAGTGATTCTCAGATATATTTAGAGAAATAAATATCTTTCCTCACAATTATTTCTCATCTTAGTTGCTATTGAGGCCCACTAACCTGATGTTGTATTGCTAAGTAACTTCGGGTTTTGCTGGGGTAAGGCAGGTGAGAGACTCATTTTGGACACAAAATTTGAGTTTTATATAGTATTTTTAAAAATCAAAATGAATGCCAAAAATTGTTGATTAAAAAAAATATTCAATTGTTAAGTAAAGACTGGATTTGAACTTGTGCTTGTGCCATTTGCATCCTCTTGATATCAACCCTTGTGAGGGAGTAGTATTGGGGGAGAAAAGATATTCTTACTTTCTACTTAAAGCTTCAATATCCTTTAGAAATGATCTCTTCCCAAAATGGGCATGAAGGGAAAGCTTTTGAGATTTTTGTGAACACATTTGATGCATTTTCATAATTGTTTAAGTAGTGATAGAGTGATTCTCACTAGCTATTATATTGAGCTATTATAAGACAGAGTGATGATGTTATTTTTTTAGATGTAGAGAAAATAAATTATTTGAACTGCCTGAAATATTCATAGAATGTAATTTAATTTGATTGTGAGAAAATTACTCATGCTGAAAAATGCCTTTGTTATCAATAATTGTCTATAATATTGCAATTGATAATAAAGTAATACTGTTTTGAGGAACGTATACTTATTGATTGGCCTAAGGCAGTCAATTGATATTTTAATATGCTTTTATACAACAGCAGGTTAAATCAGGTTATCATTATTTTTTAACAGGATGGTGAAGTGGATGCTGAAGAACTTCAGAGATGTTTGACACAGTCAGGAATTAGTGGCACCTACTCTCGTGAGAGCTCTTTATTTCTCCTGTTGAAATTGATATAGGAAAATTATTTTCTAACTTTTTGTCTTCATACTTAAACTATTAAAAAATATTTTATCACAGATATACATGCACATAGTTAAAAAAGTCAAATAATTCTTCAAAGCTTATAATGAAAATGACTTTCTCCGTGAGTCCCAAACTCCCTGACACTAACTGTTCATAGAGGAAATCTCTTTCAACATTTTGAGATGTTTCTTTTTAAATTTGACTCTGGATCTTAAAATTGCATGCTGCTATCACTGTCGATTTTAAGTTTTCGTTATTATCAAGTGATTTCCTGTTGTGGAAGATGAGAGTGTAACTTTTTTCCTTATACTCACCTATCCCTGTATACCACATAGGAGCTCTCCATCCACACAATAGTTATATTTTTGTTACATCATTAATCAGTATTAGCATTATTATTTCTGTCTAAATGCTCTGCCTACCTGTGTTCTTGTGATGATTTATGATTAATTTGCCTTTTATATAACATTTAGCTTTTTCTAGAACTAATCATTATCCTAGAGCTTTCTATTACGATCTAGTTTCTGTGTATAACAGGCATACTAGTTTCCTTCACCATCATTCTGTATCTTTCCCCTCTCTTCCCTTGGATCTCCCTTTTATTCCATTCTTGTCATTTTTTAAAATTCACTGTTATTTCAATAAAATATAATATCAATTAACTTCTTCATAAAACAGTGGATGGGAGGTAGATGTTCCAAGACTGTATGTATTGGAATCCTCAGAATAAAGTTCATTGTTTGGCCAGGTATGGAAGCTAGGTCATAAGTCATTTTTATTAGAATTTTAAAGGTATTATTCCTTTGTTTCTAGCTCTCATTGCCGCTTTATCCTTTTCCTGACTGTACCTCTCCCTTCTCCCACCTTGTTCCTTAAAATCCTTCAATAACTTCATTGTTGTAAATTTTAGGGTGGACCTTAAAGATTTTCATGATCTGGCCTGTCTTTTCGAGGTATCTTGTGCCAGCCACTCTTGCACATACACCAACCTTTAACCAAATCGCCAATTCCTTTTGAGTTTTGTGATCTTATTATACGTCAAGCTTCTGTTTAAAGCCCATTTGTCATTTGCATTAGGAAAAGTGAACCCTATTTCTTCACTTTGACAGCAATTTTCAACTATTTTATAATTGGTTATTTAATTACCAGAGTTCCTTACTAGATGTTACCAGTTTTAAGGTAGTAACTTTTGTTATAGTTATTTTTTACTGTGAACATCATTCCAAGTTTGCTTACCAGTTGATTATGTAATTTTATTAGTTTAGAAATTTTTAAATATTTTGAAAATAGAAATTGTCATTATTTTACAGAGTTAAAATTAAGCAGATGCCAATTTAAATAAATGTTTTTATAGCCTTCAGTCTGGAAACCTGCAGAATTATGATTGCCATGTTGGATGTATCCTTGAATAAAAATAGAGAATATTAGAATTTGAATAATTGCTTTCTGAATATTAAGGCAATTATAAATAACCACAATAAATTAGAGAGTTTAAAAATGCTTTGCAAGACCCTGTTTGAATTTCATACTTTTCCACAGAAATCTATTTTGCTAACTCTTGTAGAAGCTTAGTAACAATTTTTTAGTTTGATTTGGAGTTTTGGGTCAGGTAAATTCTCTTTGGCATCAAACTTATTTTTCTTAATGAAACTATCAGAGAGATTATACAGGAAAAATGGGATTTAATGAATTCAAAGAACTTTGGGCAGCTCTTAATGCCTGGAAGCAACACTTCATAACTATTGATCAAGACCGAAGTGGCACAGTGGAGCATCATGAATTGAGCCAAGCCATTGCTGCTATGGGTAAGATATTAAAGTTCTTTAAAATCTATCCATGTCTGCTTGGTTCTTTTATCACATGAATCTTAATTGCTTCAGTTTGCTAAGTAATAAAGATAAATACATTTCAACTTCTGTTGCTGAGTTGGATTTCACTCATGATTGTTGATAAATTCTGACTAAAGACAAAACCATTTTTATCTCTGACTTTTTCAAAAGATGACCTTTTGTACATTCTGGGTAATAAATAATTTTTGAATTTCCTTTGTGAGTATATTTACATTTGATTTTCTCATCACATTTCTGATAAACTAAGATTCTCAGTCTACTTTCTTTCCAAAAGTGGTATATACAATGGTGTTTGACTTACTTAAAGTTAATATAATTTTAATCAGATTTTTACATTGTGTTTACCCTTGTTATTTTACTTATAATTCATTTCTGTGAAATATATATGTGTAAGAAAACTAACTGTTGAACAACTTTGCTTAGGTACTTGTGCAAAATAAGGAAATATTTGGGATTATTCATATATAAGACTTTCAGATCTATTTTAAAATATTCAAATTCATTTGCTAAACATGCTAAGGGAAATCTTAAGCATTTTATCAATACTGTATCCAGATTATAACTCTCTGATAGGAAGCTCAAAATGCACTTACAAATGATTTCATTAGTTTAAATATTTTACTACTTCTCTTAATTTATATCTTTCCTTTTCTTTTCCAAGTTTCCTGGATTATATTTTATTGTAGTTACACATAGAATTTTCTTCTACTGCATTTATTTTTGTGTTCTTTGAATGGATTAGTATCGTTTGTCCATATTTGGTAATCCAGTAATAAACAAAGACAGTAATTCCAGGTCAGTATTCTTCACAGCAGGAACACATCTCATTAAATGTGTATGAGCACCTGTAGGGTGCAACAATTAGAATATATTAATTTATATTTCAAATTATGTTTCATTCTTTTTAAATTTCAGTTTTATATGCAATTTAAAACTAAGTTAATACACATATTATGGAAGTGAATTATACAAGATTTTTTACTGACGGGTACACAACCTAAAACTTTTAGAGACCACAGGCTTAGATAGCAAAGAACCAAAGAAATAGAAAGAATGTTGTGGGTGAGATGGAAGTCTATAAAAAAAAACAGAAAAAAAGGCTTTTGAACTCAAGAAACATACTCCTATTTCTTCCCCTCAAATTGGTCCTCATGTTTGGCTTTTTAAAATTGATCCTTAATACCCATACTGAGAATAACATATTCTTTTAAAGTCACTTGTAAGTAATATGTTCAATTGGAAATAAAGAACCTATTTGATAACATAAAAAATAATCTCTGATATTCTTCAGATAAATATAGAATTACAAAATTGAAATATTGAAGCATTAAAACCTGTGAAATAGACACATATCAAATGTATTTTAAAAATATAAAAAGATAATGATTTTCTTCCTTAGCTTTGACTTTATCATCAAGTTGTGATTTTTATAAAGTACCACTTAACTATTAACAATGAAACATTTATCTGTTCAGTTTTAATATGAATGCATTTTGCTTTTAGTATATTTTAATGGAATTTGGAATGTTTATTTTACAACTTTATTAACAAAATTGAAATATTAAGGTAGATTGATAGTGTTTGGTCTTAGAAGTTTGAATTTATCAATTTCTTTTTAGGTTATAGGTTGAGTCCTCAAACATTAACTGCTATTGTTCAACGTTATAGCAAGAATGGCAGAATCTTCTTTGATGATTATGTTGCTTGCTGTGTGAAGCTTCGAGCATTGACAGGTATTGGCTTTAAAACTATATAAAAGTATTATATAGTTATTTTTCTTGAATAGTGTTTATTGTATTCATCAGCAAATTTATATGTGTTTTTCCCCTTCATTCACTAGTAAATCTAATAAGAGTTGTCAGTCTTTACAAAAAAGGAATATAAAATAGTAAAAATTATTATAGCTACGTCTGAGGACATTTTCTTCATGTCTCAGTTGCCTGGGAAATAAAACCCTTAAGTTTTAGTTGAGTGTGAAATTATTCATTTCTTAGTACCTAGGGGAACCAACTTATTTGAAACCAGAGATTTTAAATTATAATTAAAAAGTTATTATTTTGTTTAAAGATTTCTTTCGGAGAAGAGACCACTTGCAACAAGGGGTTGTGAATTTCATATATGATGATGTGAGTATTGAGTAACACACATTTGCTATTCATACTGTGTTTTAGATGTATTCATAGTTCAAAATAATTTAAGTGATCCAGGGTACCAATATTGAGAATAACACACTTTATAGACTTTATTCTTTTTCTATATTTTTCAGCTAAATACAAATACAAAATTTAATACTAGTTCAAATACCAACTTTATATTAAACAAAAAAATTCTTTTAATTTTTATGGCATGTTCTTGCAGTTTATCTTCCAAATAATTTGTAAGGGTGAAACTACCATTATTTTTATAAAAAGTAGTTTACTCATCTTTCTTCTAATAGAAATAAGAAATTTTCAACTAGTAGTGATTATGAAGTTAATTTTTCTTTTCAAATGCTTGCCATTAACATGAAAAAAAATTTTCTTTTTTTTGTGGGAACCTCGCCGGTGGCCGGGGAACGAACCGGTGCTGCAGAGGCCCAGTGCTCAACCGCTGTGCCACCAGGGGAGGCCCTAACATGAATTTTTTTTAACAAACATAGAAGTTATTTTTCACGGGTGTTTCAATGTTTCAGGGTGTTTGTTTTGTTTTGTGTGGAAGAGGTCAGCACTACTCTACTAATATATACTGGTCTGAATTATAAACCTTGGAAACTCAGTTTCCCATCTTTTGAGAATGCTTTTATGAAAGATAATGCCAAAAGTAAAAACCATTTTATTATTACCAGCTGATGTTTTTCTTATGTATTAGTTTTTGCAGGGCACCATGACCATTTGAATGTCAAGATATTGAAAACTGAAAAAAATACTGTGAATTTTTCCTGCTTGGACTACTTTGACTTACAACTTTGGGAACTTTTTATGGTTCCTTCCTGTTAATCTCTTCTGTTCTAATCTTTCTGTTTTAAACTTTAGTGCACAGTTCAAAGCAATAAAAAAGATGAATTTTTATATTAGTGATGATACTGCTGTTAGTAATCACTTTACAAATTTTGCATAATGTTATAAAATACTGATACATGATTAACTGATATAAATATCTCAGTCTTAATTTTTCACAATATAAATCTAGAGAAATGTACTTATAAAATAGATTATATAAAAAGCCAAATGGTGAAAACCTAGATAAAACTAATTTAGACTTACCTGAAGGTTACAAATTGTACTTGAAACTTTGTAGTTGGTGTTTGGAGGTGAGCTGGAGAAGCCTGGACATTGTGCCATATTGGTAATAAGATTTGTTCCTTGATCACGTAATTTGAGAATAGAAACTCACTGGGTTTGCCTGTGTAGGAGAAAATTGTAGTTCCTAAAATTTTATCTTAAATCTCCTTAGGTGAACCATAAATTAATGCATAATGAAATAAGACTCCAAGAGGCATCATTTTTTTCACTTTTATTATTTGCAGTGTGTATTTTTGTGCAATATGTTTTCTCATCTTACGTAGTTAAGAAAGTGCTTATAAACACAGCTTATTTTCTCTGCATTTTATTTCACTAGTGAAGACATAGATAACCTAAAAATGGCATCTTTTCTAAATCTAGATTTTTCAGGAAATGACACATTTTTAGTGAAATGTCAACATATAAACTTATTCTGTTAAACTAAATTACCAATAAATCCAACTGTTTACAGAGTGAAAAACTCATTTAATCTGCCATTTTAATTGTTCAGAAATTATAAGTTTGACTTTAACAACATTAGCTGGTTGTGGTTTTGGCACTAGTAAGGCAGTGAGTCTTTAAGGTGAGGTGCATCTGCAACGTGGGGTACTGAGGCTGGCAGGCACCACAACAATTTGTGAGTGGTATTGGTATGAAAACTGCAAAGTAGAGTCAATAGGTCTTAGCATTTAAGTTCCCTGGTAAAAGCTGCTGTAATTAATCCATCCCCTTTCTTGCCAAACACTATAAACCTTTTTTAGTGACCATTTAACAAACCAGTTTTCTTTTCTTACACCTTAACATCTTCCAGCCTGAAGGTGACTACAAATTTTAGTAAGGCTGATAACCAATGTAAACTTTTATTAAATCCCATTTCTTAAACAATATTGTGAAAGAGAAAAATAACAAAATAAAACCTCTCATGAACATACTGATTTGTACTTTTAAACCAACTTTTAAGTTTAAACCAACTTTCACTTTTAAAAATTCTGGCGAGGAAGTAATGTATGATCATTTGGACACTGATTTTATATAATAAGATGTCAAATTCATTTGGTCAGTTTTATAAAAATGTGTGAATAATTCATATATATTTTCCTTATAATCCTCTGGCTATTTTTTTTTCATGAACACATATTTGATGTGAGTAGACTTTAATTGAGCCATTATATATATAAATAAATTCTAATTTGTTGTTGGAAAAAGCTAATATAAGCACGTTGTATGTGATCATCTTGAATAAGGATGCTACCATGGCTCAGCAGCCTAGATCTTAATGTATAGTTTATAGTCAATTTACTGTACTGTACTGAGGTCAATTATAATTGTCCTTATTCAGAGGCTCATGGTTGCGTAAAACTGTAAAAATTGCCATAATATTGTTCAGATAAATTTCTGCTGAGTAATATTTTGTATTTGAACTCAACACATTTTTCTAACACATCCTTTTCCAAAGATGTTCCATGATTTTTGGTTATAAGAGGTCTGCAAGGAAACGTGACCACACATATTTGGGGAACTCTGCCTTCTTCACAGATTTTGATAAGTTGAAGTTACATAAAATCCTGTTTAATTTTATTTTACCCATTTTTTTTCCTGAACTTTTTTGCCCAGAGAATCCCTTCTCTCACAAAGCTCATATTCTAGGCCAATCCAGCTTAATTGTCAGAAATGTTTTGCATCTCAGATTAAATAGGCAACTTGACAAAAACATTAGGCATAGGGAATATTTTACTGAGATTTTTATACTGAAATGCAGTTCATTTTTGGATGAAAATAACTGCTATAAACAGACATCCATTACTAAAGTAAAAATTATGTAGTTTTATGATGAACATGACCAGAGTTATGAATACAGTGTAGTTTGTGCTGTTTAAGTCATGCCGCAGTTTTCTTATGATGATGTAAATTATTGAATAATGTACACTCTTAATGTCTAAGTGCTTTTATTTATACAGTAAACATGTTTCCATGTCATTTTGAGAATTTTTTAATAAACATTCAGATAGCTTGCTGTAAAGTTTTATATCATACAAAATCTGTTACATACATATTATGAGATGCTTCAGTTCAAATAACAGTGCAGTAATTCATCTATGCCTAAAAACCTGCTGAACAATTAAATGTCAGGTATTGTACTTCTATTTCTAGTGGCAGTTTACACATTTTAAGTTACATCAAGGGGAAGTCAATAGTATTGAATCTTAATTTGGTCCACTTTATGCGTAATTTCAAGGACTGTGCTCATTTGATTTATTTAAGCATGCATTCTTAAACAAAAAGTCTTTAAAAAAAAAAAAAAAGTCAAGTGATGTTTATTTCCATAAAAGGTATTTACCCTGGAAGAAAGAATTTAAAGTAATGTAAAGTCTGTGTAATTAAAAAAAATAACAAAAATTCAATTTGTGATTATTTCCTTAAGTAAAATATACAAATTGAGTTCACCTATAATCTAATGGCATTACTAAACTGGACAAACACAATAAATATTAATTGGCAGAAATGTGCTTTTCTTTGTCCTTTTATGTTTGATAAAATCATAGATGATACTTTTTTCCTATTTTATGATAGTTTTCTGGGAAATTAATAGGAATAAATTTTCTTTTGAAATCTGGTAAGTGAAATGCAATGAGTGAAACCCAAGATTTCTTTCAGGTTGGCATATTTTTCTTTTAAACTTTAAAATTCAGTCAATATTGAATCTTCATTTTGATTATATTGACATGTATATGAAAAGCTCACAATTTATTTGGTCTTCAACCATGTATGTAGTGAATTAGATCGATTGAAATAAATGTTCAATGCTACGATATCATCTGAGACTATTCGAGACTTCCTAATATTAGATCATATAAAGGAAAAATATTTGGAACTTATAATGATGAAAACAGAACCAATTTTATAAGAATCATGTTAAAAAAATTTGTAGTCTAAGATAATAACATCGTGTGTGTCCATATACTGAACTAAAAATTTACTGTAATTAGAATACTGAGCACAAAACTACTTTCCAGTTAAACACTGGGAAACATGAAAAATTTGTCTGACTTACCATTGGCTTTTTGAATTTGATTATTGGGAAAGCTGTGCTTTTGTTTCTTGCCGTATCTTTTTTCTACTTGTTTAAAAAAGCATTTCACTGGCATATAAAGAAAAAAACTTTATATTAACATTCCTTTTACCCAAGTAGCTTGGTAATATGCAGCTTTGTATATTATTCAAGCATTCAAAATTGAGTGTGCTTCTATATATCTGAATATATAGTAAGTAGACATCGGCAGCACTTCTACATTACTATGATGTGCCATACAGTCGGGAATGAGTCAGGTCCTTCCCTATGTGCTACTTATGTTTTCAGGTAGGTCCCTTCTGCTCCATCTGAGATGGTGGCAATTTGGACAGTTTATACAGAGTGGGAAGAACTGGGCTTTCTCATCATTTAATACCCATGTTTAGAGACAATTATGCCAGGAATCATTAATGAATAACTTCTGATTTATTGTATGTGTGTGGAGGGGTCCCGATCATTCCCCTTAACCATAAAAACATAAACGTGCACTTTACAGATAACCTGCATACCATCATTTACATTTTAGTTGATTGTATTTCATCATATCATATCTTGTTTTGATTACTGAAATTTCAAAAAATAACCTGAACAGTGCTAGTATAAACATTTCAAAAACATACTATTGATAATTAAAATTCTTTTGGAAAATAAGGACCATTTTCAAGTGATTCTAGGATTAATTAACTTTTAGATGCAAAGTTACCTAAAAGCATTACCCTCAAAATCTTATGTCAAGAGATGTTAAATTTTTAAATATTTGGCTTTTTCACACTTAGGTTATCATTTCCTAATCAGTTTCACTTACAGATACCTATACAGTTGCTTTCTGCCCATCTGTATTTGGTTTGTTTTTTCATTTATCAAATAGGGAGATGTTTCTTGGTTTTTTAAACCTTACAAATCGAATGGTGGGGTATCTAAACCACTAAATAGACTTAACAATCCTTAGCACAGAACATGCCATATTACAACCAATACATTTTATTTAAAAGTTTTCTTTGAAGATAACTTGATATTTTTTCTTAAATAAAAAATAAATGATTCTAGAGGAGGCATTCCAAATGTATGAAACATAGGTAAATGAAAATATCTGGATATTTCCATGGTGAAAAAAATGTATCAAACATACATTATAAAAATTTATTTCACAGGTAAGTTAAAACCTGTTGAGCCATCAAAAATTTTAAGAAATCAAATGTTTTCAGTGAAATACTTTGAATTCTTGACAGGCAATAATAAAAAGTGAAATTTTTTGTGTTTCTTTAATTTTAGATTCAATGCTATTAACCACTCAGTCCTGCTTATTTGTGTTCCCAGTGGAAATCAGTAAAACTGTAGCACTGTTACAATTATGTGATTTTGTGAAATACATCAGCACCACCATGCCTATGTCTAGCACTGTATCTAGTAAAATGTTGGAAATACTTGACTTTTCTAATAAAAGTATCCTAACTAGCTAAAGAGATTTACTTTCTTTTTCCCCAAAATAATTTCTTTTACAAATTTTTGATTTTTCATGTATAAATAGATCAGAAATTATATGCTTCATTCTTAAATTATGTATATATACTATATTTTCAATACAACTTGTACACTTTTAGCTACCAAAAATTTTTGCAACCATTTTTACATGAAATTTACATTTTCCTTATTTACAGTTATTTGTAGAAGGTTATTGCAAAACTAGTTGTGCAAGTAGATTACACTGTCATACCACATACCAATCTTTGAAGAAAATATTTGCTAAAAAATAAATATTTCTGCACAGAATATTTCAAAAGCATCATGATTTCATGCTACATTGTGTGCATAAAGACTAGGAAATAGTTTGTATTTTGGTAGATTGTTTCATTATGTTTAAAGCATTCCAAGGTACTTACTATTTAACCAATGTGAGTGAACTTCTTTATATCAGATGACTGACATTTTCAAGTGATTTCACACATTATTTTTGAAATGTATCATTCTTTAACTGGCAAACATCCCAATATACTTTTCCTATCAAAATTATAGAATTCAAATTTCAGCTAAAAGGAGGTTATGTGCCTTTTATTCCAGTAGTGCCTAGAAGATAAAAACTAGGGATTCCACAGTTTGTTTATCTTCTTTAATTCTTTCATATTTGGGAAAGAATACTTAATCATTTCCAGTGCTATTATAATTATGGGGGCATTTTGATGAAACTATGTGGAGAAGTTAATTATAAAATTGCTGATGCTTGAATTTTATTCCTAAGTATGATGGAATAGTATGGACTTTTCTTATATATGCAAATACTCAATAAAATGTCCATATTGGAAAAAATACAGTATGAATGCTAGCAGTTGTGATTATTTTCAATTTAAAACAATAGAAAACATAGAGGAAGTATAAAGAATATAGGTTAACTGTATAGTGCCTCAAAACCACTGATTTACCAAATTATTTTGTGTCTTTCAAAATATAAATTAATGGAAGTCATGGGTATCATGACTGACTTTAGGAATTCATCTAAGTTTCAACTTTAGGTTTTCTGAATAACCATGTCAATTGTGCCACTTCTCATGATCAATATATTTTATTGGGAACATTTCTGTAATAATTCTTGCTATTCCCATTTGGAAGTTTAATTATGATGGGTAGAACAAGGAAACTGGCCCATTGTTTGTAGGTTTCCCTCTTTCTAACATTGCATTTCTGTAGACGTCTTATTCTATTCATAATAATAGTGTAACCTTAAATAATTTGTCATCTCTCCCAACCTCACTTAATAGTTTATATAAATAAGCCTTGTTATAATTTCTTTACATACTATAAATTATAAATCATGTCATCTGTGAATTTTCTTTCCTGTATTGCATATTCCTAAAGCAAAGTGTTTTGTACCATAAGCACATGTAATGAATTATCCTAAGCTTGGACACTGATCATTCACAATACCTAATACTTTATAAAGCATTTAAAAACATGATCTTTTAGTTTTTAAACATCACTTCATTATTAGTTATGTAGAACCATAAGAAAGCAACTTTGAATGAAAACACGTGAGAAGTAAGGGGGAGAAAGAGAAGCTATTGCATATGTAGAAAAAAAAAAACATGAAGGTACCATTTTATGAATGATGTTGGACAAAGGCAATATTTGATTAATACTGGGATGAGAGAGCACAGATGTTTCCATAACACTGGTGTTCTCTGAACAAATGAATCTTGAGAATCATATGAGAATCACTTTAAAGGTTTTTGTCAATGGGAATGTGGTCAGTGTTTGGTTGGAGAAATAGCAAAGCAAGTTGTTTTTTTAGAAGATCTAAGTAGCGCTCCTGCACTTCTACTTTCACTCCAGTGTTTGTGTGATGATGCACAAATCACATGAAATCCTTCAGTTTTATTGTATCTTATGGCTTACAAAGCACTTCCAGACATACATTTCAGATGTTCCTCAACTTACCCCTTAAAGATACTTAAGACGTTGCCTTCACTTTTATAATTTTGTATGATGGAGCTCACGGACGGTTTGAGAGTGCATGGAGAAGGTAGGATTTGAATTTGGGTTTCTCAAACTGAGTCTCTTGTCATTTCCACTGCTCCCCACTAGAGCTCAAGTAGTCTAAATCTGTGTAATGTACCTGTGCAGTGAGGGGGTGGGCCTACATGCCTGGAAAAGAACCATTATAACTGTAAAATGCTATTTTGAAAAGTGTACTTTTTTTTTTTCAAAACTGTACTTTGAAAATGTATTTTCAAGTATCTTTTTGGGAATTCTGCCATGGATGTGAAGAGGGGCTTCTATAGTGAGCCAGCCTTTACAGAATACACGCTGGTAGTACTTGATTTGATAGCTCACCACTACATACTTGACATTTAACTTTGATTCAGAATAGATATGTTTGTAACAATAAGATACATATGCTATTATTATAATAAATATCAAGTATTACTGTAAAGCTATAAACCTAATAGTGCAAAATATAATTAAGAAAGAGAAAACAATACCTACACCTACATTTTCTGAATCAAACCAGTCTTGGTAACATGTAGTTGGAGACATAGCACATTGTGCAAAAGCTCACTTGTAGAAAATTGTTATCCTGATTGTTTTTGATGTCATATTCCTGGATGAGAACTGAAGAATCTAGCTTTTGGGTTTTTTTTTTTTTTTGAGCACTTACTATGTGCTAGGCACTTTACTCCATGGTATCTAATTTCTTCCTCCAGCTTCATCCAGTGGGTACCATTATCTCATATTTACAGATCCAGGGAGGTTAAATAACTTGCTTGGGTTATTTAATCAAAATCATCAATGAAGGAATTCACACTGAGACTAGAGACCTTGCTCTACATCAGAGATTCTCAAAGTTTGTGTGTGCATTGGGATCCAATGGAGAAGGGCTTGCTGAAAATGATTCAGTAGGTCTGGGTGGGTGGGACCCAAGAACATGCATTTCTAACAGTTCTCAGGGGGTGTTAGTGCTGTTAACCTTAGGAACACACTCATCTCATCTTTCAAGTGCTTCTTTGGGCACACAATAGACACATTTGTTTTATTGCAAAATTGGGCCTAATTTAGATTAGAACATTAATAACATTTGAAGTTTTGAAATTTATACAAATTTTGATTTGTAAGACATCTACTTAAATATATTGATCTGCTTTTGGATTTAACTATGCGTAAGCAATTTAAAGACTCCACTATATTGAGTCAATTTTGTAATTCATTGTTAATTGTTAATAACTAGATCTACCAATTTCCTTTTTTTTTTTTTCATGAAAAGGATACAGAAGAAAGATTCTGTTGTCAATAGTCATTATGTTAGCTATGCTGAAGAAGTGATACGTGTTATTCTTAGATAACATACGATGGGATTTTCAAAGAACATTTGGATAAGGACATTGTTCTTTTAGGCATTTTGGAAGCATTACTAAAAGAGCAGGTTCCAAACGGAACTTGTAAGAAGCCTTTATACACATGTTAAACCTGCACACATGCCACTAATACCTGGATTTAGTTTTCATATCTTCTGACTCTTAATTTAGCTCTGCTGACCAACCCATTATAATGGATTGAAGAAACTACACTACCGCTAATGTGCCCCGCCTCCTGCCTGCCCATGTTTCTGTGATGAGTGATTATTAATTTAAAAGCCCTGCAATAATGTTGCTTCAGCATTTTTCATTCCTGCTGTTCTCATCAACTGATTAAGAGTATGGGACTCCCCTGTGGAGTAAAACGTTAAGTCTAACTTTTTCAGCCCTACTCAGCAATAAGCAACAGCAGGAAAATACCTAACCCAATAAACTTAAGATTTTAGGTGGTATTTTATTTAGGCCTAGGGACCAGGTAACATTATTTTTAGGTGAAAGGCGAAAGGTGTGACTGCTTCTAATTACCTAGGAGGAAAGCAGTTGCTACACTGCTATTATTATTGGCTGCAGCAATTAAATCTGGTCCTCCCCAGGACACCAAGATGGAGGTGACAGACCATTTTGGTACATCCCATAGGGAAAGTGACAGTGACTTTAGTCATTAGGTCTTTGGGAATATGGGATGAATTTTGTAAATTAAGATAATTGCTTCATTCATCTATAAATCATTTTAACCACTGAGTCTTGTAATGTTTATGCCTGACTAACTGCATCTTTACATTGATGGCTCAGGTTCTTTTGAAGCTCATATCCTATAGGAAGAGACCTTCCTACTCCTGTTCAACTCTCAGACTCAGATTTTAATCAATCAATCATTTTTATGTCAATGAAATAAGAATAAAAACAGTTTGTTTTGCTAAAATTTAAACAAGCTGGCTGTTGGCACACCATTCTCATCTTTCCATTCCTTCATGCTTAGTTATTGTATAGACATATGGAGACTTCATGTGGAAGATTGAATTTTATGCACATCACACCAAATGTTGCAGTTGAAGCATTCACTAATCAAACAATCAGATCTAAATTCCTCACCTGCCAAATCCCCTCTCTCTGAAAATGAACAGTTGCTGGTGAATTCATTCTGAATTTCCCTGGTGCTTAGTCTGGCAATTCTTATGAAACTTGTTGCAGCTGCAAAAATGTGTCTAAATGTTGAAATAAAATCCCTAAATCGTCCTCTGAGCCAGAGTTAGCCACTACTCTTCCCTCTGGTAGGCACTCATAAATATTTGTTGATTGAAGAAAGGAAAGCTTCAGCTAGTCCCTAAGTTTGTGTCTGCATAATACCGAATGTTTTGGGAAAACTGGTTAGAAATGTTTACTTTTGTTCATCACTTATATTTTGTTTCTCTAAAAACTAAGAGGGTAGGGACATGCCCACGCCTCAAGATTGCCTCTCACACAGATTATCAATTAATGTGACCACTTAAAAATACATATGGAGAGGGCCTCCCCGGTGGCACAGCATGGTTGAGTGCAGCGCTATGAAGCTGTCTGCAGCCTCTGCAGCGCGGGTTTGATTCCCTGCTGGCCAGGGAGATTCTCACATGGAGCAGCAGACCCCTCCTGTC